TGATACACTTTACAGTGTCCTTCATTCTTTGCTCTTTAGGATGATATCAACCGGGCTGTACAGCAACTGTAGAAAGAATTTTTTCATCAACCACAGACTAAGCGTCTGCTTTTCTGCTATTCTAGTACCAGGTCTATCTCACCTCGTCCTCTGTTGCCGCCCAATGGGAAGCAAAGCAATGGAAATGATAAAACAATAGCTCATTTAGCTTTTCTGTTCCCCCTCCTTTTCCTCTTCTTCTTTGACTGATTCAATGGTCCGCTCAATTAACCACAAAGTTTGGGTGGCTTAAAATAGCCAACCGCCGCTGCTGCCACCGCCGCCATCAAAACTGGTTATGACACTGGCGGCGGCGACAACGATAAAGTGAAAAAGTGATGCGTTGACAATTTTGAAGTAGTGAAGGGAAAAAGATGAGATGGCTCGCAAGATATAACAATGCCGTTGATTACACACTGCTGTTGCTGCTGACGGAGTGAATTCCGCCGGAATGGTGAGAAAAAAGAAAAAGAGAAACGCATTCTTGATGTGTGCTGTGCGCTAAAACAAAACAGTCATAAACGGCAAAGAGAGGGAGATGAACAATGAACACGGACTGTAACAACAGCAGAAGCATCAGAAGATACTTCAGCTAAGAAAAAGAATGATAACGTTTCAGTACTAAGAACAAAACGGGTGCTGCTGCTGTACAGAAATGCGTGTCACAAAACTAATTAACCCTTTTCACACTTTCTTTTCTCCCCTTTTTGTCACCGACATGCTCACAATAGCTGACGATTGTTCTTGTGTTCAGTGTAAGTAACTGAATTGTGTTGAAGATGAATAGCCTCAAAAATGTGTCAATCAATATATTGTGTGTGTTGAATGATTAACGTCAAATTAGAGCCAATTGATTTATTGCCACATGTTTTTAAGCACACAAATTTTCACTTGGTTTTTACATGGTTGTTTGGTAGTTGATGTTTGACCAAAAAATAGTGATACAAAAAGGGGCAGGAGAAAATGGAGTATAAAATATCTGTGTAGAAAGTTTAAGAATGGAAGGAAAAAATAAGTAAAGAAAGCAAGGAAAATAAATGAAACATTGTTTGTTTTTGTTATCCTGTTGTTGTTTGCTAGCAATAAAAATTACAATACATTTTCAACAACAATTATCTAACTTTTAAAAAATGGAGCAAATTTTTTCAATGCATTTTTCTTATTTAAAGAGAAAACTGTACGGGTAACCGTGAGCTTTGCCGCGGAAAATTGAGAGCAGCAATGAGAAGAACACGGCCACCAGAATGAGACCAGCAATTGACATGACTGCAAAGTTGAGAAAATAAATTCAATTAAACAAAATCAATCTTTAAAATATAAACACGCTTCAAACTTACATTTCTTCTTCTTTTGGTCAATTGCCTTGCCGCCCTGTTTCATCGATTCAATGAGGAAGATCAGTCCCACAGTGATGGCCGCATCTGAAATAGTAACAAACACAAAATTTTAGCTATGCACTTTTATTTGCAAAAAAAAGGAAACTGGCAAAAACTTACTGACGGCAAAGATGATGTACGTCTCAATGATGAACTGGCCACTGCTGCCGCTGTGAATGTAGCTGATGCCCTTGTTGGAGCGGTGCAGCAGCGGCGGGCTGCGAATGTGGCTCCACATCTGACCGGAGGTCATCGCAAAGACGATTGACTGGGTAGAAAGAAAGTTCAAAATTAATAAGTTTATCCCTTTCAAAACCAAATATAAAAAAATCACTTACCAGAGCAATCAGCGCCCAAGAGGTCTTATTGTAGAGAAAGTCGAGGTTGTTGCGGCGGACGTAGAGGAGGACGGAGAGCAGGGAGAAGAGCACCAGGAGAAGGAAGGAGGCGGTGTAGTTGGGCGGGCGGACCACCCTCACGCTGATGTTCGTCTTCTCGAANAACGATTGACTGGGTGGAAAGAAATAAAAGTTAACAAAAATTTGAAAAAAAACATTACTTTTTTCAAAGCCAAATCTAAAACACAAAAAGCAAATCCCACTTACCAGAGCAATCAGCGCCCAAGAGGTCTTATTGTAGAGAAAATCGAGGTTGTTGCGGCGGACGTAGAGGAGGACGGAGAGCAGGGAGAAGAGCACCAGGAGAAGGAAGGAGGCGGTGTAGTTGGGCGGACGGACCACCCTCACGCTGATGTTCGTCTTCTCGAAGACCCACCGGGCGACGGTCTCCGCGGCGAAGCCAATCCGCTGAATGTCCATCTGCTCGGCGGAGCGGATGCTGAAGCCGGTCGACTTGGCGGCCCGCTCGCCGAAGAAGAGAAAGACCGGCGCCGAGTTGAGGCCCAGGGCGCTGAAGATGTCGGCGCCCTCGTCGTAGTCGACCAGGCCGAAGAAGAGCGAATTGCTGAAGCCCTGACCGTAGCGCCAGCTGTTGGCGACGATGGCGAACTCGTCGGCGGCCGAGCGGCAGACGGAGCACTGGCGCATCGGCGAGAGGGCGGTCATCATGACGATGAAGGAGTAGTTCCGGGCCGGCTGACCGACGCCCTTCGCCCCGATGAAGGTGCGGAACTTGTCCGGGTTCAGGCGGATCATCGGCTTCTTGAAACTGAGGTCAGTTAGCTTCGCCACGCGTTCCTCCATCGAGGGAAAGGCGGGCTGACCAGTTCAGTGGTAATGTTGTTTGAGTTTGAGCCAATGTTTTGTTTTTGTTTTGGTGTTGTGATGATCAGTGAAAAAGCATGAATGAAATGAGCAAGTGTTAATAAAGTGAATGAAAGTGTCAGCCTCATCTGCCATTACCTCTTTCCTCTTGGTGGCAGCCTGAGAGCCCTGGCCGTTGACCAGCTCCAGCTGGAGCAGTGCAAAGAGGACACACAGTCCGAGGATGGGAATGAAATGGCGGTAAAATGATGCTGTTGCTGCCATGGTTGATGATGAGCTGAAGTGTTTTGGGGTTGCTGTACCTGTTCAGGTAAAAACTACAACATTTAATAAATAGAAACTCAATTTAGATCAGTCCAAAAGAAAGCAGCAGTGCTAGTGACAGTACACTGGGGCGATGATGACAGTAGTGAACACTGCCGTCGTGTCATGTCAGCTAAATAGGAAAGATGGTGATGCCAGCAGAAATTCTACAAAGTTCTTACCTTCTTCTTCTCCTTCTTACTTGCCGGCGTCTTCCCGAAGTTCACACCGTCTGTGATCAGCAGAAAAGGAGCTGAGTGGCAGTCAGAGAGAGTGAGTGAGGGAACGAGCGTGGCAGCAGACAGACAGCAAACCAGTCAGTCAGATAGATCGCCAACGACAGCTCATCACTGCGGCACTGCAGCAAGGCAGGCGCCACTGCGTACTCAGAAGAAGTTATTGAATCAGTTGGGAACAGGCTGCCCAACAGTGGACCTATTCACAAAGACAAGTACTTCCTTTTTTTGCCAATATAAAACTTTATTGTGGCCTTTTTTATTGGTAGCCCTTCTGAAATCGGTATTTTTATTAGTAGTAGTAGTAGTAGAAAAATAAATGTACAAAATAGACAGTGGCAAAATATAGGTTGTTTTTTTGTGTGATAAATCAGAAATGTAAAAAATATTTGTGTGTGTGGCGTGTGGCATTTGGAAGACCAAACAAACAAAAGGAAAAAATATATCAAATTTTTGATAAAAGCACATTAAGTATTCTTAGTTCTAAGTTCTCAACTTGTGCCGAAAAAATCAGAGTTTTTAAAAAGAGTAAAAGTTTAGAGCCCCGTAAAAAGGAGGAACACGCGGTAAAAATCCGTGAACTGCAGTCATTCATTGGTAGTGATTAGAACCGTTGATCACACATAAAACGCACACTACTACTAGAACCAGCACTGGAACAGAGCAGAGTAAGGTGCAAAGGCGAGGTAAGTACAAAAATAGAATTCAGTAAGATATTGTTGATTAGAAAGGTGATTAGGAAACTTGGTAACTTTTGGTGTGATTTGCTTCAATTTAGAGTTGAACTCCTTTGCTATCGTTCAGTCGATTGGCGAGATTTTCAATGCGTTGCTGCAGAAGCAGCTGTTGTCGATTGTTCTCTGAATGGTCATCACTTTGAGAAAGGTCAACATTATTTGTTTTTTCCAGTTCAAGTTCAACACTGTTTGCATTTTGTGTGGCTAATTTGGCTGTCGTTTTGTCTCCTGAGTAGTGTCTACTAAAATTGTCACCATTTAATGATGAGTTAAGTATCACCCGTTTGTGCGTGATGCCATTGCTTGTGCCATTGTTCCTGTTCTGTTCAACTTCAGCTGTCTCAAGAATTTCACCGTTTGTAAGTCTGGCGTCACAGCTGTTGGGTGGCACAACAGTTGCCAGTTCAGGGGTTGTTTTTGCTGAACGGGAGCAGTTTTTCAATGAAAGAAGGGTTTGAGGCGTCGATAGTTTTTTGGGCGTCTGAGGTTGCTCCTGCTCAAAAAGCTCATCAATGGGAATGCCCGTTTTGGTTGCTTTTTGCACAGTGCAAATCAGATGCTCCTGGTATTGCTGCCAAATGCTGGACGGACTTAAAAAAGAGGTATCAAAGGAAGTTAGACTGTCATCATCTCCAAACAGAAGTTCGCCATTGGACAGGCCGTTGACAGTCTTGGCAACCGGGATTGCCGGAGTTTGTTCCGCTAAATCGCTGGCATCATTTGCCATTTTCATTTTCATATCATTCTTCTTCTTCTCCACAGCCAGCCTAATCTTTTTCCTTGCCATCTCCTCAGCTTTGTTTACCACTGGAGGCCACTGCGTGGCCACCTCTTTGGTCCTCGGCTCAAAGCGGAGCGGATCCACGGGGTGAACTTCTGCGAGAATGCGCTCCACGTCCTCCTTCCGGTACAGCTCCTTTTCCGCCGCTCGCAGGTCAAAAAGCGTTCCCGTGAGGTGTTCTTCCAGCGCCGCTTCAATCTCACCGACGAGCATGAACCGCTGAAAGAAGAGGCGACCTCCGGGCAGCTGACTAAAGTCCGCGTGAAAACGGGCAATGTGCTCTCGGGTGACAAAGTTGAAGGCGGGAAAGCTGACTGTGACCTCGCGGTAGGCCTGAAAGGAAAGGCGCCGAGGGCTGGCAAACTCCAGCGCCCGCCGTTGGGCGCAGGGCAGACAGACGTAGCGGAAGTAGAACATGTGCTGGACGAGATGGTCGAAGAAGGCCGCCGGGGGAGTGCGCAGGTCGACCACCTCTCGGTGGTTAGAGGTGTCAAAGGCGTCGAAGCTGAGGTCAAAGTTCTGATCGGGCATTTGCTGCTGAGAAGAGGAATCGGTTAGGTTGGCCTGCTCCAGTTGTTGTTGCAGCAGCAGTTGGCTATCCAGGGAGTCTTCACTGCTGCTGCTGCTGCCGCTAGACTGGTCGACGCTGTTTGCGCCATTTTGGATTGGGTTTGTTTGGCCGTCTGCTGTTTGGCCATTTTCAGTCAGCTCCTTCTGCCGCTGCTGTTGTTGCAGTTGTTGCTGGGTCAGTATTCGGCAGGTGGTGCACCAGCTGACTCGAGGAAAGACCTGCTCATCCAGGTGGACGCCCTGGTAGACGAAGGCACAGTAGAGCGTCGGCCAGTTCTTCCCCAGATCGATTGCCTCCTCGATCAGCTCGGTCAGCAGCTGACGACGACGGCGGCTCCGCCTCTCTTCCTCGCCCTCTTCTGACATTGCTTTTAGGACGGTAATTTGCAGATCCGCCTCCTCCTTCTCCTCCTCAGCCATCCGCCTCTCCAGACAGCAGCTGCCACCACCACTAGAACTGGAGGTGCTCGACCCTCGCAGGTGGTGCACCAGTCCGTAGTAGCCGCTGCCCTCGACGTAGGCGTGACACACCGAGCAGTACACCCTCAAGTTGAGATGGCCCACCAGGTGGCGGAGGTAGTGCTCGTAGGAGCGCGTGTCGTAGTACCGCGCCCGGGGGCACATGGCGCAGAGCAGCTGGCGCCGCCTCCGCCGCCGCCGGCCCCAGCTGTCCGCCTCCGCCAGGGGGCAGTAGGCGATGGAGCGCAGGAGGTGCGACCGAAGGAGGTGGGCGTCAGCGGCGGCCGTCCGCCGGGGAAGGCGCCCTCGCAGACAGAGCTGGTAGAGAATTGCCTCCAGTGGCCGCGGATCAGGGGAGAGCGGCGAGAAGGGAGTGTCTGCAGTTGCTGCTGATGATGATGCTGATGCTGACTCTGATGGGGCTGCTTCTAAAGATGAAGAAGAAGGTGCTGGGAGAGGCTCGGCTTTGTTGTGCTTGCCTTTGAGGGCTGTCTGAAAATGTGAGGAAAAACGGTGAAAAGGGCGTTTAGAGCGTCGTCTTTTTGAAGAAGGGCGTTGTTTGGAGCGATGAGACTTAGAATGCGGTTTTTGTTGGGGTGATGGTGATGGTGGGGATTGCTGTTGCTGCTGTTGTTGTTGTTGTTGTTGACTGTTTAGAGTTTGATGTTGTTCGGTTTTTTGAAACGCTGGTAGTGATGTTAGAGGGGATGATGGTTTTGCTAGTAGTAGCGGCTGCGATGGTTCTGATTCTAGGCCATTACTGACGATGATGGGGCCAGACGTAGTACTGGTAATTTCAGAAAAAGGAGCATTTTCAGTTTGATCCGATTTGGGCTGGTAGTCTAATGCGGCTCCACGTTTCTGAGGATGATAAACTCCATTGATGACAATGGGTTTACTGTGTTGTTGATGTTGATGAGGCTCGATGCGAGCTGTTACTTTTTCAGTATAAATATTAGCTGTTGTACTATCATTTTCAACTTTTCTAATCTTGTAGTAGTTGTGGTGGTTCAGATGTTCAAACTCATAAGAAGAAGAAGAAGAAGGATGATGATTATTTGTACAGTTTTGAGTAACAGAAGAAGTTTTGCTAATGTGCGATTCATCACCATGAGTTGTTGTTGCTGTTGTTGCTGCTACCTCATCTGCATCACCATTCATCAACACTGATGGCTGATGGGCATCAATTGTGACTGTGGACGGCTGCTGTTGCTGAACAAGATGAAGGTGTTTGGAGTGGTGGTGATGGTGGTGATGGCGGTGATGGCGGTGATGATGATGATGATGGTGGTCATCCGAGTGATTAGGGTGAGGGTCGTGGTGATGGTGGTGATGGTGTTGATGGTGGTGATGATGATGATGATGGTGATGATTAGAATGATGATTAGAACTGCGGTCAGGCTTCAGTTTTGAGTAGAGTCCCTGGGCGATCAGTTTCGACCTGGCGGTGGGCGGCTTCACCAGGGCAAAGTTCTCCGGCACGGTGATCTTATCCTCTCTGATGTCATTCTCATCTGAACTTGCTTCTTGGCTGATTATTCTGTCTGCGTCCGCCTGTTTCCCTCTTCTCACCGTCTCCGCCGTCTCCTCCTCCTCCTCCTCCTCCTCGTCCTCGTCCTCGTCCTCGTCTTCGAGGTGCCTCACCAGACTGCCCACCTCGAGGTACAGATAGTCGGTGGAGTCGCTGTCTGAGCCGCCGCCATTGGAGCAGAAGGACGGGACGTCCTCTGCTGCTCGGTGGTAGCCCATTCCCGTAGCATGCTGCTGTTGCTGCTGCTGCTGCTGGGACATGCTGCCGAACTGATGCTTAAAGTTTGAACTGGATGATCACACATATAAGAGGTTTAAAGGCAAAATGGTTGCTTCTTATTGCAGGAGTAGGAGTCAGAGTGAGAATTGATTGAATGAGGTAGTCTGTGTGAAGAGGAGAGAAAATCAGAAGGTTAGCAAGTGTTGATAAAAACTAGGTTTTCTTTAAACGGTTACCAAGTTTCAAGGCAAGGCAAGGGGTTGCTGAGACTAAAACTAAAAAAATGTCTGACGTTTCAAGTAGAGTACTAAGAGTAAAGTTTCAGTGTGGGTTTTTGTTCTGGAAGAAAAGTTTCAAAAGGTGCGTGGAAGAAGAGTAGTAGTAGTGATTGGATAACAATTTAAAATGGATGGAAGTGAAGGAAGAATGATTCTAGGAACGATCATCAATTTAGAAGTAGGAAGACATCAGTTACAGATGAAGGGGGTTAAATGTTGAGCAGAGGGGATTTTGTTTTCAGTCCATTTATTGGTGCTAATGATCGATGGATCTTAGAAGAGAGTTGATGACAGTTTCCCATCGGTCCTCACATTGTGAACAGCGCGCGCGCCACAACACTGCAGAGAAACTTTCCTAAGCGCCAGGCAACTTGTTAATATTTACAAACAAATTCATCACTGTTATTGTTTACTCACAGAGGTAACGGACCAGCCAATCAAACTGAATAATAGAAAAGGAAGTTTGAAAAAGGCAAATCAACTTTAATTAAGCAAACCAAACAAGTGCAAATCAATGCTTACCCGCGCAAACTTTGCTGCTTTTGCTGCTCTGGCAGGCCAGCGGCGAGGCGAAGAAAACAACACACACACACACAACACACACACCAAAAATTGGTGGAAAAAGAAGAAGAGGAGAAAGCAGCAGGCGCTGCGCTTAGCAGCTTTCGCAGCAGCCGTCGTCGCAACCGCTGCCGCCGCCGTCGCCGCCAATTTTTGCCGTCGCTGATCGTCGTAAGCTTCGCACCACTGGAACGTTTCAAATACGGATAGACTATGTGAGTGTGCTTCTTTTTGAACTGGCTCCGCCCTCGCCTGCTTACCACGGCTGCGGTCACCGTACTGGGAAGTGTCGAGGAGAGCCCGGTTCGCCACTGCAAGGCGGGGCTTAAGGTGAACGCCGACGGTCGGAGGGGCATTAGGCGCGATTTAGCTGCGTTGCCTGACTGACTGACTGCCTGCCTGCAATGGCCAGCCAATGCCACACTGGAATGGAAAACTGTGGAAAGTCTGCAGATGAGTTTGCGCATAGGGAACACACTAGTGTGAACACACTGGTCACACACTGTCTGCTGGTGGTGGTGGTGGTGGTAGTGGTGGTGGTGACGGCAGTGGTTGCATTGGCAGCTGCTTGGAAAAGTACTAGTTTCTGGCTTAGAATTTACCATCAAAGATAGCTGACTTTTGGGGCAAATCTTCCCAACACGCAACTGGTCTGTTGCTGTTTTTTTCTAGACACACTAGAAAACACCAAAGCAGACTTTATTTAAAACTAGATAGCTGAAAAGTTTTTTATTTGATTTGAATCAGTGATTGAATGAAATGCCAATAAATTAGTTATATAAATGGTAAACACTTGATTACAGGGGCAGGTTCAGGCAATCGTCATTTGAGTAGAACCTTATTTTCAGTTGAGTGCTTGGCAACCTGTTAACAAGTAAAATCTTGAATTTAGTTACAAGTTTTCTAGTTAAACAGAGCCATGCTTACCTGTTGTCTGATTTAAGGCTGCCGTTGTTTTTCAGTTTTTAAATGTGTGTTTGTGTGTGTAACTGTTAACAGATAATAAATAAATAAATAATAAATACTGATTAGAATTGGGTAACGTTGCACTTTAGTGAACAGTATCACTGTGTTTTCACTGTTGATCACCGGTTGTCTGTCACAGTGTAATATTTGTCGGAATTTGATTAATTGGAAAACACATTTACAATAACGAGTTAACGAGACACAGTGTCAAATGTAAAAATGACTGATAAGATGAAAAAGTTTTCGCATTGAAAAAGAGTAGAAAATGGAAAAGTAGAAAAGTGGTTAAAATGTGTGTTTGTGTGAAAAAAGAAAAGTTCATTTCATTTTTTACAAAAGTGTGAAATAATTAAAAAGAATTGAGTGAAATTGGTGAAAAAATCGAACAGTAAAAGAAGAATGTGAGCAGCAAGTGAAATCTAAAAAAGATGATAACTATATAGACATTCAGAAATCAGCAGAAACGGAAATGTACTAAAATTGCACGTTTGTACGCAGTGTGCTGTTTCTGTTGCACATCTCAAGAATTGTACTTAATTAATTGATTTCAGTCTAAAAAGTTGAGAATTTGTAGTTGGAAAAAGATGTGCAACATAAAAAAGAATAAAAACTGCTGACTTGGAAACTGTGCATGAATTGGGCGGTTTTGGCGTTGAATTTTGAAAAGGAAGTTTTAAAAGTTTTGTTCTGGCTGTTACTGTAACATAAAAACTGTAATTTGAACTGAAACTATCGAATTTTAAATAATTTAGGTAATTTTTATTGTCGCAATGAGCGGTTGAGTGAGCGTCGGCTGTAAAAAATAATAATTAAAAATTTTTAGATTGCACAATAATCTACAAACATTTAAAAATATCTTACATTACAATTTTAAATTGTTTAACGACTGAATAATTGACCAGAATGAATGTGAGTACTTTTATTGCGGGCTGTCTTGAGCTTGTGTTTTCAATATTCCTACACAATAAAAAGTGGCAAAAAATAAACAATCAAAACATGATTAGAATCAGAAAACTGCTAGTTGGACGACTTTTACTTACACTCGGCATTTAGCAAGTGGTCGAGGTCCTCAGCCAAAACTGGATCAACTGCATCAGGAAAAATGTTGATGTCTTCAACAGCATTTTCCACTTCAGCATTTGCGATTTCTGGAACTTCAGCTGCTGCCTGTCCATTTCCTTGAGCAGCATTAGCATTATCATCATCAGCATCATCATCATCATCTGAATCGAGGTTGATGCACTCAATGTTTACCACCGTTGTCAAGGATGACTTTGCCACAAACTTTGGCGGCTCAGCAGCAGCCTGAGATCGTTTTGATTTCTTTTTTTCGATTTTCTCTACCTTACGCCTTTTCACCAACGGCTGTTTACCACCAGCAGCAGCAGATGACTGCTGATTTTCACCCTCTTCTTCTTTTTCTCTTTTTTCTTTTTTCTCCTTTTCAGAGTCATCTTCACTGGCTAAAAAAAGTTGTGTGTAACTCTACAAAACAAATATTTTCACAATAAAAAAACTACTCACAAGTGTCACTGGATTCACTGCTGGTATCGAGAAAGACAGAACGCTTCACCCTTTCTGAGCTGCTTTTTCGAGGATTGAGAGGAATCGAATTACCAGAGTTGGAAGTGGAAGGCAGACAGTTCAGTGGATCAACACCATCACCAGCAGCAGCTGTAGCAGCAGCAGCAGCAGCAGCAGAATCACCGGATCCCGAACCTTCTTCCACTCCCGGAGGAAGCTCGTCAATGACAAACTCGTAGCTGCCGTCGGGGAGAATCTCCACATCATTGCAAGTGGGTGGCGCTTTTTTCAGTAGTTCAGTAAAGAAACTGCAGCCAAAGGTTAGTCGTTAATCTCAATACTGGATTCTCAAATCATTTCAGACAGTCTTTTTTACTTACCCATCAAGAATGAGATTGTCAAACTTAATGTACTGATTGCAAATGGGACACTTCCACTTGGGGCTGATGTCATTGATTTTGATGAAGTTTTCCACATCAAAGCAGTGAACGTGATCACAGTTGATCGATCGAACGGGAATCTTGATGCGCGTCGAGGTGATCTGCGTTTTATGGCAAAAGTTTATCAGATTGTATAACTAACAAAAAGTGGAGGCAAACGGTAGAGGGACATTTCATTGCAACCATTTCATCGCGAGCCATTTCATCGCGAGCCATTTCATCGCGAGCCATTTCATCGCAACTTTTTTGTTAGTTAAAGTAATATAAAGGGGGCCTGGGGGGCTTAGCAGCCCTCCCAGAGGGTCAGGGGGCCTAGAAGCCTCCCTGCTAGCTTGCTTGCAATGAAAAGGCTTGCGATAAAATGACGCTGCGATGAAATGACGCTGCGATGAAATGACGCTGCGATGAAATGGTTGCGATGAAATGACATAGAATCGAGGCAAACTAACCGGACAAAGCAGTGACACCTTGATGGAGTTGTCTTTATCGACGATGGCCAGTTCATCATCGTCAAACTCAATTGGATTAAGCTTCTTTTTGGCTGGTGGGTTTTGAAATGAGTAAAAAAGAGGGTTAACAAAATTACCTTTTACTCAAAAACGGCACTAGAAGGAGTAATCCCCGTTCTAGCGTTTTACTCACCCAACTCAATGGAATACTTTGCCTTGAAGGGATGTCGCCAGCGAGCATGAAACTCATTCAGCAACGACTGGTAGCTGATCTTCTGCAGGAGGAAGACGCCAAAGAAGAAATCGTCCGGATTTTCGCCCGTTGTTGGATCGAGGGAGATGCGAACGTAGATGTCATTGCTCGCCTCGCAGATGACTCGCGTCGTGATGTCGTACGGGCAGAAGGTGATGCGGTTTTTTACCTGCATTGAAAAAAATCATTTAAATTACTTTATCAGTCAGCGAAATTGGCTCAATCTGATCAACTGCTATTTCGTTACCTGATAAGCCTTCTGGTTGATGATAAAGTTGAAGCCCCTGGGCATGTGGTCAGTTTGCTCCTCGCAGGTGGGGTCATAGCGACAGAAGCGAATGAAGATGCGCACACTAGGGTCGTCCGCCAGGTAGTTGGAGATGGAGTTGATCTGAAAGACACAACCAGGGAGGGTGCTCTGGACTGCAGGAACAGAAAAAGTAACAAAGGATTAGATTCTGAAAAAACTCAATATAAACAGCAAGTACTCACAGATGGTGCGCGGCGAAATGAGCGTACACAGTTCGGTGTAGGAGTTCAGGCGCTTGTAGCGAATATCAGCCAGGTTGACCGCCACCAGCTGCCCGTTGACCGTCGTCGAGGCGTACGTGGGCGGGACATTGGCGGCGGCCGCCAGCGAACCGGGCAGCAGTGAGGTGTAGATGGCGCCCGCGCTGGACATCAGCTCGTCGGTGATTGGCTGCGGCGGCTGGCCCTGCTGCTGCTGGTGCTGCTGNCGGCGGTGATGGTGGCGGCGGCCGCTGCGGCCGCCGCCGCCGCCACCATCGTGCAGTCAACGTACGCACGGGTGGGCGTGCCGTCCTCTGCAGAAGGGGGAAGGGGCGGAATGGGAATGGTGGAGTAGGGCGTGGCCGAGCCGGCGTAATGATGATGCGACTGAGCATGCAGCAGTTTATGTTGTTGATGTTGCTGCTGCTGAAGTTGCATCTGCTGCTGAAGCTGCTGCTGCAGCTGCTGTTGCTGTGGTAATCTGACACTTATTCCTCCTCCTCCTCCGCCTCCTCCTCTTTGACCTCCACCTCCGCCGTTCATCACCATCATCGCCTGCTGCTCGGTGGTGGTGGTGGTGATAGAGTAGCCGCCGCCCGGCTGGGGCTGGTAGTGCTGCTGCTGGGCGCTGTACTTGTACACCTGTCCGTTTGCGCCTAGATGGATCCCAGCTGGATCGACCATTACCATGCCTCCATTGACGGCGGGCACGATTTGGTATCCACCAGCACTAGCACCGGTACAAGGCATTGACTGGAACTGCTGCTGCTGATGCTGCTGTTGATGAAGATAGGGATCAACAACTCCCTGGGGAACGTGGTTGCTGGCGAGGGCCATCTGAGGAGGGCCAAGGTGATATGGTGAAGACTGAGAGGAAGGAAATTGGGCAAGAGATTGCGGCGTTAGCTGCTGCTGCTGCTGCTGCTGCTGCTGCTGGACCTGGTAATCACTAGCCATCATTTGCTGTTGCGATGATGGAGGACAGATAATGGGAGTGGACGAGGAGGACAGCAAGACTGATGGCGGTATGGACGTGGACGTGGATGAAGAGGTGGATGCAGATGATGAGGTTGTGGATGAGGATGAGGACTGATTTGCCGAATCATTGTTTTGGTGTTGGGCCATCTTCAGTTTAGAACAACTCACTTCCCAAAAAGTTTTGTTTTCTGTCAAAACTCTGACTCAGAGGGAAAGGCAAACTGTACCCTGACTTGCTGCTCCTGATTCGTTGCCTGCCTGAACAGAACTGCATCAGGAGAGAGAGATTGAGAAGAGCAGGAGAAAGTCAGGCGTCAGAATGTTCTAGCAAACTTCATTACTTGCTCTGCTAAAAGGAAGAGAAGCCAAAGTGAGAAACACACACACCCAAACCGCTAAAGTTCATATATACTCACCCTCTCTATTACTTTCAAAATGAATAGTGAAGAGTAGCTCTTTTAAAAAACTTCAAGCAGTTTGGCAGCTTCCAAGAGTGGAGCTCTGTAATGAACAAATCACAGTTTTGGCATTGACGGCATTGCCAACCTCAGTTTCAGCAGCAGCAGCAGCAGTCTCAAGGGTTGGCAATGATGCGCTCGCCCGTTCAACTAACTGCCGCTGCTGTTGGCTTTTCTTCTTTTTTTTCTTCCAGCTCAATCTAATGTTCTTGTCTATCGAATCGAGAAGAGGAGCAGCAAAATTCAAATGTGCTTCAGATAAGCAGAAGGAGAAGGAGTAGAAGAAGCTGAAGAAGAGAAAGAAGAAGAAGAAGAGCAGACAGGGCGACAGCTGCCTTCAATAGGCACTACTAGTCCGTGCTAGCAATCAAGTGTTGGCCTTTTAAATTGGCAGGCAATTCCGTGAATCTTTCTTTCAGTTGGCTACCAGGGTTGCTGCTGCCATCGCTGCCACCGCCGCCACCGCCGCCGCAGCTTCCACTGTACCGCACTTCTACTGTTATTGCCAGCTTGGGACGCCGGTTGCTGCTCTGGCTGCTGCTGCTGCTGCTGCTGTTTGTGTGTGTGTTTGGTGCCACTGAGGACTTCTTCTGAGGGTGCGCTAAAAAGATAGAGAGAGAGAGAGAAAGAGGGGTGAAGGCAAAGAAAGGCTAGATTAGGGGAGCGAACGAAGAAGGCCAGCTAGTAGTGGCTGTGTAGCCAAAGTTTGTGTGCCTGACTGCTTGCCTGCCTGCCTGACTGTCTGTCTGTTTGCTAGTAGTCAGCAAGGCAAGCTTTGCCATCAGAAGTGCGTCATTATGGCTGTTTTCCAGTTAGNCCAAAGTTTGTGTGCCTGCCTGCTTGCCTGCCTGCCTGCCTGACTGTCTGTCTGTTTGCTAGTAGTCAGAAAAGCAAGCTTTGCCAGCAAAAGTGCGTCATTATGGTTTTCCAGTTAGGAGGAGAAGGAAGGAAAGCGAGAGAAAGGGAACGATAGGGGAGAGAGAGGCAGCAGAAGGATATCACCACCACCGCCAATGCTTAGCAAATGCTAGTTGTCTTCTCCTTCTTCTTCTTCTTCATCTGCTGCTGCTGTGCCTTGGCGTGCGACAGTAGCAACGACGACAACTACGGCGCCAGCTAATGGCAACTGGCAACGGCTACGACGACGGTGGCAGCAGCAGCCTTTCATTGCCTTTCTATGCGCATGTTTGAGAATGTTGTGTGCCAGCCAGTCTGCGCAAAGCAGCAATCTTTCTGGCCTGTCTGAACAGTGGACACAAGCGCCAATCCAACGAATGAAGACAAGCACACAGAGCTAATGTGCGCCACTACTACATTTGAACTGAATTGAGGTGCGCCTCGTTTGCACACTGGCAGGCAAAAATTAGCACTGTGCAGCGTCTAATCAGGGCACTTTCAAGCTTTTCAAGCATTTGAAATAAAAATAATGTATTTTATTAGATTTGTATATGGAAAAACATGGGTGTTTTTCAAATCACCAAGTAAAGCAGTGTGCACTTGAGCAGCAGTGAAATCAGTCTAGTACAGTCTAGTACTTTCGCACCTTGCTCGTCATGCCGGGCGTAAACTCCACCGTCTCGTACTCTACAACTCCTGTTGTTGTTGTTGCTGCTGTTGTCGGCGGTTGTTTGACGGTTGCAAACTGCTTAGGTTTGGCCTCCATTGTGAACGTTTTGCTGCGATTGATGGAGTGCTGGTTACTAAAAGCTACGCCTTTCACATCCTTAGTTGAAAGTTGAGGTTGTTTCACCGAGGATGCCGTCTCAAGAAGGTGAGAAGGTGGCGGTCGCATCACAAAGGTCGCTTTTCGAGCTACAGAACTGCCACTTTCAGCCAAATTTGAGTTGGGAGCAAAGCGAACGGTGGTTGTTTTTGAGGTCGCAACAGCAACTGAATCAGCGGCATCAGAAAGGTTGCCGCCACTGGTGTCAGAGAAGAAGGTTCCTGAGTTGCGGGAGTTTTCAGCTGAAGAAGAAGAGGTGGAAGAAGTGGAAGAGGAGGAAGATGCAGCAGAGAGGGCGGTGGCGTAGGCGACGGAAGGCGTCACGGTGTTCCACCGATTGAGAATGTTCAGACAGTTGGCCAGCTTGGCGTTGACAATCACCGGCTGATCGGTGAATGTCGTGGTTGTTGTCATTGTAGTTGAAGGTACTGTCCCAGTGGAAGGTGATGATGATGATGATAGTGAAAAGGCAGAAGAGGAGGAGGAAGATAACACCACCGTTTGACCAGCGGTGATAACTTTGCCGGCAGCATCATTTCGCTGAGATGTCATCACCAACTCGCTAGCCAGTAGTGAACTCTTTGCTGTTCCATTGACGGCAGTCATAGTCAGCGGTGATTGAAACGGTTGATTCACCGCATTTGGAGTGTTCCCTTTATCTTCAATGACCACAGTTGAATTGGTCTGTTTCTTCTGCTTAGGCTTAGCACTTTTAGAGTCAGGTGTACAGAAGAAAGCAGCAGCCTGCTTTCCAGTTCCGTTAGCTACTGGCGCTGGCGATGCAAATGAGAGGCGAGTGCCGCCAGTTTCTGCCTGTTTTTTAAACAGCACAGCATTTTCTGAAATAGGCGTCTTACAGTCGTTTTCAGCCTCTGCACCCTCAGCACCCTCATCCGATTCAGCCTTTGACGGTGCCGGTGGTATGTACGGCTGGTAGCCCTTCTTCAGCAGCGCCGGATTCTCCTCAAACTTGATCAGCCGCTCGCGAATCTTCTGCAGCCGGCGTTCTAGCTGATCAAGGTGGACCGGCTCCTCGGTGAGGGCAGTTTGCAGGGCGTGAGTGGATTCCTACAACAACAAAAAAGGTTATGATTTAGAAGTATTTAAGGTAAACAAAATACTCGCAAATTCTCTTACGTAAACCGGATACATGTCACCGAGCAGCGCAATGTCCGCCTGAAAGTAGCTCGTCTCGAAGGGTAATGCCGAGGCGCTCTTGGCCTGCTTGTCTCCCTCATCACAGCCTTTACTCAGTCCGCTGACAACTCCACTGGTCAGCTGTTCCACCTTCTCCACCTCCTTTTGGACGGCGTTGAAGCCGTTGCGCAGCTTCTCAAAGAAGGTCGTCCCGCCGACGTTGGCAATCAAGGTGCGCTGCATGATGGGAATACTGGAAATGCTGGCTGTCAGGGAAGGCGAAAAAGGGGGTGATCACACCAAAGATGCAAAGTAGGTGATAAAAACTTCAAATGTTCTAAAAACTTGCAAGTAGTTACTAAGAAAGTTGTCGTTATCAAGGAAGAAGGTTTCAAATCTGACCGATATTGTCAGCAGTTGTTGTTGCCGTTGAGAATACTGCACACTGCACACAGATAGGCAAACTCAACCGTCGCTGCGCTAGCTAAGTTGCGCTACTTTTGTCTCGAGAGGGCGCCAAATTTACCGCTGTAGAAGTTGCTGGCGCTCCAAATTAAAACTCACAAACTTACAAGTTATGTTGAATAGAGTGTTAATGAGAACAGTTATCGAATACTACTTTATTATTATTGTGAAACTATCTAAGTACAATATATAAAATGTTGGTGTGTGTGAATGAATATGTGTATGTGTTTTACAGCAGCAAGTACAGCAAAAAGCAGATTAAAGCTATCATTTTCAGAAAGTGAAGATTCTGTGACTGTCTTAATTGGTGTTCATTGCCTCTGCAAATGAGATGACGCCCGGAAAAATGGTATCAGCTTCCTCTGCTTCCTTTCCCTCCTCTTTTTCCAATTCCAGCTTTGACATTAGAGC